TTAAAACATCCACGTGCAAATTGCTACCTTCTATATATGTTTATTGTCGTCCATTTTCAGACATTGTTATCAGAATTCACGAAACATGGTTTCATTGTCTGCTTGTCGGATCAACTAATGACATAGAAAATTGCTATGTGTATGTGCTTTATGGTGTGATTCACGAATTAAATACCGATGTAGATGAATAGAACATAACGGACATTTTAGGATATGAATACAATAATCCGCCGCGAATTTGATATTTCCACCGACTATAATCCGCCGCGAATTTCATATTTTCGCGGGCGATAATCCACCGCGAATTTTATATTTTCGCGGACTTTTTTCCGCCCAGAACGTCTCTAATTCCGCGGAGTGTATATGGGTAAAACACCGCGATTTTTGAGCGGAAAAAAACGCCCACAAGGACTATTTTCATACTTCCGCCTGAAGTGTACTGTATATTCTAATGTTGGCCTTTTGTCTTTTGGAATCGAATTATAGGCAGTCCGAGATAGCATACTGACTGTTGCTCCAGTGTCTATCAAAGAATTTAGTTTTAAAGAATTCACAATACATTTTAAATGCAGACCGGTTTCACTCGGTGGGCTGTGAGATGCCGATCCACTTTTCAGACCATTACTTGATTCTACGTGATTTCGTTGATTGGGACTTCCAGAAACGGGGCGTTGTGCAGGTTGTCGCCAATTGTTTTTGTCACGTGATCGGGTATAATTTCTTGGAGTGTACTGTTGCCTTGTATTATGATTAATATTGTCGTGTCTGCGTATTTCTAAACCTTTTCCAGTTTGGTTAATACTAGAAGGCGAGGCATCCGATTTTTGAGTAGTTATTAATTGTTTTTGAACATTATGTAGGGACTTGTTCATTTCCTCCACAAGTTTCTTTAGATCCTGCAGTTTGCGATTCTTAGATGGAAGATCAACACCACGGAGTTGTCCTTTGTTCGACTCGCCGGCAACACGATGAGCATCCAGCTCTACCACTAGTCTGACCATTTCCTCCAATTTGCTTGGTCTAGACCTTTGAATCTGCCACACCATATCTCTATCATCACAAAGTGCATCACAAAACGCATCTTTAGAAAGTATATTCAATAAGTCACAATCCGCAGAAGGGTATGCCATAGCTACTAGCCGTTTCACTGCTTCCCCTAATTCGGGTAAACTCTCTTTAGATTGCCTTTTTCGAGCCTTTAGCTGAGCTCGATAGAGTTGACTTTGGTTAGGTGGCAGAAACCTGTCTTCAAGAGCACTTATTAAATGGAATATACTTTCCGGTCCTCCACTTTCATGGACGATAACACTTTCTGGGCCCTACCTTTTAAACTACCAGCAAGATGCAGGGCCATTTCATCACTTGTCCAATTGTTTAGATGAGCACATATCTCAAAATGGCACTTATAGTCCATCAACGATATAGCACCATCGTAGTCTTGTGGATTTTTCACCGGTTTACGATAATAAACACTACCCATGCCTTGATTATAAGGCGTAGACGTAACACATGGAGAAAAGGCACTGTTATCTGCATCCGCATTTTTATCGCCACATTTTGAAGGCACAATAACAGCAGGATTAGTAAAATTTTGTTGCACACTGTTCTTTATTTCACAGAGCTCGTTCCGATAAGAATCTAATTCTTTAGATATAACTTTAAATTGTTCTAACACGAGGCTATGAAAATCATTATCTCCCTTGTTTTGTAAATTGCGACACAATATTTTCATAATTACTTGAAATTTCACTCATTTGTCTCCGGTTAGAGTCTAATTCTTGCAAAAGTTTGGTTAATTGATTTAACACCATATGCTGAAAATCAGATTTACCTGTATTATCAATGTCCATAGACGCATTTAAATGATCACACAAATCAGCATTTGATCCAGACAAATCACTAATCATATTAAACTCAACCGTTCTTGGCCTCCTCGTTTTCGGAGTCACATAAGGCTCTATATGCACAGGATTTCGTACAGGAACCACAGTTGAGTCAAACTCATGATTTTGTACAGGAACCGCAGTTGGGTCAAACACAGGATTCTGTACAGGAACCAGATTTGGGTCAAACACAGGATTTTGTACAGGAACCTCACAACGGTGAAGCACAGGGGTACGATCACTTTTGAATATCAAGTCCATGTCTACCAGACTGTACGTGGTCATAATCTTGTCAAATTAAATATAACACAAAGACACACAGTTATGGGTCAACACGGTCACTGGCGGGAAATGTTGCTTGCATGTATTGAGAAGTGAGACATTGTACAATGAGGGATAATCCAATCCCACCTCTGCCACCAAGAAAACCCTTTAGCGTCCAACGGTTGTATCCACAATAGACTGGGCCCCTCTATCACAAAGACTCACTAGTGGAACCTCGGCTACCGATCTGTTATCCAGGGAGGGGTTTTTCTAAGCTCGCCTGGGATCACAACTCTCTTCGGTTAGTAATGGGTAAGTGTCAGCTAAAGAGTGACTATAAGGAATCCCTTCCCAAGTTTTGTCCGGGATCTCCCCTTACTCAATAACACAAATAACAAAATAGATATTCATATAAAAATAAATATATATTATCCTCTGATCAAGATCAACTTACAAAATATAACACAACAATGATAATGATGATAATGATATAAATATCAAACCACTTTCAGGCGAAACACAAATTATGGTCGACACACAACCACACGTGTACACGATCAGTAACGATATATGAAATCTGGGAAACTGACACACACATAATAATGAAACAATAATATGATCTCTAATATAATAACACTAGAGGTAGTAAAATACTATTAAACAATATAACTTAGCACCGAACACTCGGAGGGAATCACTGAATCACAAAAGAACACAAAAAGGAACCTTCAGACATCCACTCACGTTCTAATACTGCTAGGTATATGAGATTATATTTCGAGCTCTTAATCGAAGATCTATCGAAAGTGCGCTGTGTGACAGCTTATATACAATATAAAATCTCGTAAAATAACAGGCAACGAGAACTCCCGTAATACCTTGCAAATACGCCTACTCGCGAACGTCATGTTCTTCCGCGAGACTTACGTATATTTATAAATAAATCGAAAGTAGAATAACATCAACATCGAGATCACCGGATAAATTAAGTACATGCATTTAAATTATGGATGGACAAATGAATATATATTAAAAGGAAAATGTGACGAAAGACGAGGGAATGTGGGTAGATACGGATAAATCTTCCGTCTAAACGGTAAGCTATGAAATAAAAACCGTCACACTAAGTCATTAACTCAATATCATCCAAAACCTTCGACAATGAAAACACAAATTATTTGTCAATTTTAATCAACATGGATGTTGTGATCTTACCGGTAAAAGATGGGCTTCTGATATCCAATATTTAAGACAAAATAAACATTTTATGATTGGTACGCGAATCGTGTACCATAATGCATTTCAGCGCAATTTGTAACAAGTAACTTGAAGAACGAGGTTAGACATATTCCACAAGTCATGTCAAACGGTGACCCCATATTTTTATCTGGAGAACATGCACAATAAATACTATCGGTGTAGACTGGAATAACCAGACGCCAGAGGTTGCCATTTAATTGAGACTTCTGGTGTATTTCGACGAAAAAACTGCTTTGAAATTAGAGTAAAAACGGAAATGCTTGAATGTACATCAGTTTATTTACAATCAGATTACATAATTGTATACGTTGCGACCCATTTGTGTCAATTTGTAGGTCCTAAATATTAGCGATTTAGCTCCTTTAACTGTATTATTCAGTGAAATGTACTTGATACATGAGACTATTGTCGGTCAGTTGGTCCTTTGCGTTAAAAACGGCTGTTTCAAAGTCTGTTGTGGAATTTGAAAAAAGGAATAGATCTAGTATCGACATTTGTTACAATTTGATTTCTTCTGAATTATGATGAAAATATCGCGATATTTTATAGAATTATCGCAATATTTTATAGAATTATCGCGATATTTTATAGAATTATCGCGATATATCGTGATGAAGCGATATTTGAGATTTCGGACGATAGTTTTATCACCTGACCTAATTATCATTATATATCGCCATCCCGAGGGTATTGATGTAATGAAACTATACACCAAGTTTCATCACTCTCACTTAATTAGAACTAGAGTTAAAGTTGCAATTTCATATTTTTAAGTTATATTTTTAAAATTTATTAAAATAAAGCCTTAAAATAGATGGTATCTATAAACAGTCCTACCTTGTTAAAGAAATGAAAGGGGTTTAACGTCCTACTGTTCTGCTTCTAAACTGGGCTAATGAAGACGGGCATACGTCATACAGTGTGCTATGAGGGAAATTTTGCCCAGGCAGCACCTTGTTAAAGAACAATTCTATTAATCCTATAATTCACTATTGCAAGTTGAGAAATTGGGAAAAATATCTTTTTTTAACTTCAAATTCAAACGTTTGAAGATAGCTATTACATGGGGGGAATAGAAAAACAAGGGAGGTAATTGTGTTATTATTTCTGGGGTCAAAGGATTTTTAAGTGGGTGAATAATACCTATGATTGTATAATAGTGAGTTAACAACCTATTGAGCAAAAGACAGAAATAATTATGTTTTGACTTTCTTAGAAAATATGAAATTATCGCTTTAACATGTCTCAAAGCACAAACCAATCAAATTGCTTATCTCTTCTCACCCTAAGCAGAAAGTGCTCATCTTCGAACTCCATCAAGGCACTGACCCAATAAACACCTACACTAAGTTTGAACATTCTAGCTCAATTAGATTTAGAAAGAGTTATTGTGTCCCAAAAAGTGTGACGGACAGACAAACATTTTAATAGTATAGTCCCCTGCTTTCTTTGAAAGGCGGGGGACAAAAATGATTTTTAGGGTCTAACTAATCAAAGTTTCCAAGATTTTTTTTGTTCACAACAAATATATTTTTCATTATAGTTTGAATGTAATTTCCAATCAATGGTTAAATATCCTGAAAAGCATCATACCTGTATCTTTCTACATGTAAATCTTCTATAATAACTCTGTATTTTGATAGCACTTGATTGCCTCTGTCTTTGATCCTATAAATAATTCAAATTCAATAGTATCAAAAATATTTCATGAATTATAGTGTACCGTACGTACATAATATTACCTACATGAATGTCAGTTTTTGATTTTTATCTGCGTGATTTCTTTGGTAAAGCTCAATTCAATACATCCATTACAACTTGTAACTGTGATTAATATGAACTTCTGTCACACCAATTGATGGGTTCCATTAAAGTAGGTGTCACAACTCCATTGCTCATGTTGGAAGAAAGTCGTTTTTCCCCCAAATTGTAAAATTTTCTAAACTTAACGTCACACATTTGCTATTTAATCTTTTTTAATATTTAAAACAGATTTTGAAAGCCAATATATCTTATTTTTTTTATATTATTTTTATATACCTATTCTTCTTATTAATTTCATAAACATAAGTTGAAAAATGTCAATTTTGCGTGTTTCGATATTACTGTAAACAAATTTGTCACGTTTTAAAATGGGGGCACCCCACTTCAATATATATTAAAGGGACAATAACACACTTGCTGGCTTGACAGCTCCAGAAAAAAAATAATAGACTTATTCTAAGTACTAGATGTTTAAGTGTCCTACCTGTTGTGTAAATTATCCATTACATCCTATTTTACTTGTCCAGAGCGTTCGGAAATATTTTTAAAATATTCAGTTACAACAAGAGTGGTATTAAGCCTTTAATATATTTTTTTCATTTCAATACCATTAGAAAGATAATTGAACAACCTTTCAATCGGTCGGTTATGGAATGTTGGCATTTCAAAATACCATGTATTTTTTGTAAGTTGAAAAAACAATTCATGCACACTTTTTTTGAGGCAATTTGTCAATATTCAATAACCGACCGATCGAAAGTTGATTTTATTGCCGTTTCGATGCTACATTTTTAAAGAATAAACAATGCCGCCAATGCCGCAATCAAACAAGTTTTGTGACGACATGATGTTGTCTGACATAGGGAACAAAGTAAAAAAAAAAGCATGGTTTAGTTGAGGAATAACTCTAGACATAGTTGTTACGTTGTAAACAAGGGGATTTGATGCATGTTTTATATAAATAAAGGACTTGCCTGCAAAAAAAGAGTTATTCCAGGTTTATCCGTTTATTACTTTATTACAACATTAATTAGAGCAATGTAAGACAAATCATTCTTGTCTCGAATAGCGAACTACAGTGTGGTGCCATGTGATGGCTCTACATATATAAAAAGATCCGTACCGAATAATTAAGTTAAAGAAACATGGGGTCGAAGTTCAACGTTAAAAATTGTGCCAGTCGGATCGCCCTGTACGAGGCGACAGTTGATAAATTTATCTATTCTACTCTACAATTAAGTTTTGTCTAAAATTCTAAAAGAAAGATGGCACAATGTTATCAAGATAATGAAAAAATCACTGGTAAGTATGAGTATTATATCATCTAAAGAAAGACTAATGAAGTAACAGTACTGAGTAAGTAAGACAAGAGCAGGAGGACCGCACCTCATATAGGCCTAACAATTAATAGAAAATAGCGTTGATCCTACAGTACTAGTAATCTAAGTCAATATGTCTGGATCATGCGAATGGCACTGCTTTGTACTTTGTATAAATTAATGAATACAAAAATGTTAGTGGATTTTAAGAATAAAGATATAAATCCCCTCCTACGTTTATTTATTCTGGAGGGCCTAGATCTATTAATAATATTGTATTATAACAAGCCAACAGTGATGCTGATGTCCCCTGCCGAAATCCCAAAATAAATAGATGACACATATTAATAAATCGCACATTTATTTTTGTTTTCAAAAGTATAAAGCAATCAAACTATACACCAAGTTTCATCACGCTCTATCAGATAGAATCAAGATTATCTTGTCCCAAAGCATTGACCAATGAAATTGATTAGCTCTGCTTAGCTTCAGCTCAAAATGTTAATCAATGAACTCAGTCAAGACATTCACCTAATGAACATCTACATCAAGTTTAAACATTCTACCTCAATTAAAAGCAGAGTTGTTATGTTCCAAAGTCTTGACCAATCAAATTGCTTATCGCTCCTTAGCCAGGCAACGAAACATACACCCACAGTAGTAAATTGTCCGGGCAGTCAACAAGAGTTGTCACATATTTTTACTTTTTTCGGTAATGAAACATTTATAATACATTAAAATCTGATCAAGAGTAACAACTCAATAAGTAATTCTCAGAAAACCATTAGAATTTGTTTAGCTTCTAAAGCGTCACAAGATCACAAGTGATCAAACCTCGTGGGTTTTCTGCGGGTCCTCCGGTTTCCTCCCACTGCTAAAGACCCCACACGCAAGCGAATTATTGAAATAAAATTAAACCATATGTTAGTCCCGAAATGACCTAGTTTGTGTCTAGTGGACGGTAAACCCCATTTTTCTCTATCTCTCTCACAAGTGATCAAGGGCCATAACTCTGGCAGTAATTATCGGAAATCGTTGAAAATCAAACTGATTCTTCGTCTCATGACCTCAAACACTGTGTATAAATTTAAAGTCAATCGGATATTAACTTTAGCCTCAAGAGAATTTACAAGATTTTTTGAGGTGATCAAGGGCCATAACTCTGCCGGTAATAATAGAAAATCACTGAAAATCACTGTGTATAAATTTAAAGTCATTCGGATATTAACTTTGGATTCTGGAGCGTCCACAAGATTTTTTAAAGTGATCAAGGGCCATAACTCTGGCAGTAATTATCGGAAATTGCTGAAAATCAATAGGTCTCTTCGTCTCATGACCTTAAACACTGTGTATAAATTTAAAGTCCACAAGATTTTTTGAAGTGATCAAGGGCCATAACTCTGACAGTAATTATCGCAAAATCGCTGAAAATCAATAGGATTCTTCGTCTCATGACCTTAAACACTGTGTATAAATTTAAAGTCAATCGAATATTAACTTTGACCTCTAGAGCGTCCACAAGATTTTTTAAAGTGATCAAGGGTCTTTATGACTCTGGCAGTAATTATCGGAAATTGCTGAAAATCAATAGGCCTCTTTGTCTCATGACCTTAAGCAATGTGTATAAATTTAAAGTCAATGGGATATTAACTTTAGCCTCTAGAGCGTCCACAAGCACTTGTGGACGTCGGCCCATCGGCCGGATGGACGGACGGGGGCGACGACAATATACGACCACATTTCAATGCGGGTGTATAAAAACAGAGTTATGTTCCAATCAAATTGCTTATCAATCCTTAGTCAAGGTAATGAATGTAATGAATCACTTCATTATAACCAAAGTTATCGTACCCAAAAACATCAGCACCAGATTGCTTATCTCGGCTTACCTCAATTAGAAAGAGAGTTATTGTGTTTCAAAGTCTCGACCAATCAAATTGCTTATCGCTCTGCTTACACTCAGCAGAAAATATTCATAATCAAACTTAGTCAATGTATTGATGTAATAAAGCTATACAACAAGACATTAGTGTCCTCACTCTCACTTAATTAGAACTAAAGTTATAGTGTCCAAAGCATCAACCAATCAAATTGCTTATCTCTGCTTACCTTAAGCAGAAAATGCTCATCGTCGAACTCCATCAAGGCATTGACCTAATAAACATCTACACCAAGTTTGAAAATTCTAGCTCAATTATATGAGAGTTATTGTGTTCCAATGTCTCGACCAATCAAATTGCTTATCGCTCTGCTTACCCTGAGCAGGAAATGCTCATTATCAAACTTAGTCAAGGTATTGATGTAATGAAACTATACATCAAGTTTCATCACCATACTTAATTAGAACTAAAGTTATCATGTCCCAAAGCATCAACCAATCAAATTGCTTATCTCTGCTTACCTTAAGCAGAAAATGCTCATCGTCGAACTCCATCAAGGTATTGACCTAATAAACACCTTCACCAAGTTTGAACATTATAGCTCAATTAGAAGGAGAGTTATTGTGTTCCAAAGTCTCGGCCAATCAAATTGCTTAACATTCTGCTTACCCTGAGCAGAAAATGCTCATTATCGAACTTAGTCAAGGTATTGATGTAATGAAACTATACACCAAGTTTCATCACTCTCACTTAATTAGAACTAAAGTTATCGTGTCCCAAAGCATCAACCAATCAAATTGCTTATCTCTGCTTACCCTATGCCGAAAATGCTCATCTTTGAACTCCATCAAGGCATTGACCTAATAAACACTTACACCAAGTTTGAACGTTCTAGCTCAATTAGGAGAATTATTGTATTCCGAAGTCTCGACCAATCAAATTGCTTATCGCTCAGCTTAACTGGAGCAGAAAATGCTCATTATCGAACTTAGTCAAGGTAATGATGTAATGAAACTATACACCAAGTTTCATCACTCTCACTTAAAGATACATTATGGGAGATTTTAATAGAGAGTTGGCCATTCTTGCTATAATAGTTCAAAAATAGATGATGAAAGAAGAATATATTGAAAATTTCAGTCAAATTACTTTATTCTGAACAAAGTTATCACCATTGTAATTTTTGACTAGAAATAGGCGTCAACTCTCTCTTCGCCGCCTCCGAGAATGGCCGATCGTTTGATTGACAGGCGTTAACTACAGCATCTCGATTATCAAGTAACGTTTTCAATGACTGTGGTACCGTTAGCCTATTCAGTTTGAGATGGGGTTGCAATTCAATTCGTATCACATTTATTTTTACTACAAATTAAAAATAAGACTTTTAATATATAGATAAGAAGCGAAAGTTTGAAAAGAATGGACCAATTCAATGAGGCATAATTATAGCCGACTTCTTGTTAGCCTGCATGTACTATTGTACTGTAACTAGTAGGCCTACGAAACTCCCGAAGCAGACAAATAGGAAACAGTGATCCAATGGGGCTGCAATTCAACTGGGGTGATGTTAGCTGCGATGTTTATCAATTTCCATAATTTTTCTGTAAACGTAAGTGACAAAAGAGCATATAATACCGACATCCAAACTCTCATTTTAACCACAACTAAACATAATATCAAGGCCGTATATATCGAACTTTCGATCAAATTGACTGACATGCAGCCTCGCTCAACAACGGCCTCGCTTCGTACATTCTATCATTTAGCCTCGATCTAAAACTTCCGAGAGTATGACGTCAACGTAATGGTTAATCTCCGCTTACGATGCCATTTAAAAATTTAATCAATCAATGAAATCCTGTTTAAATCCAAGCCATCCGTGGGTCTACAGAGTTGATTTTGTGCTTATTGTGTAAATAAAGATCTAATTTATAATTTCTATGACATCTGAAGCCTAAATAGAGCCTAAATCAGATTTAGCTCTTGCATAATGTATGTTTAATTAGAACTAAAGTTATTGTGTCCCAATGCATCAACCAAATAAATTTCTTATCTCTTCTTACCCTAAGCAGAAAATGTTCATCTTCGAACTCCATCAAGGCATTGACCTAATAAACACCTTATACCAAGTTTGAACATTCTAACTCAGAAAGAGTTATTGTGTCTCAAAAAGTGTGACGGACAGACGGATGAACCCATTTTAATAGTCCCCTGCTTTCTTCGAAAGGCGGGGGACAATTACTTATTATTACCTCTCGTTTCTGTCTTTCATCTTGAACTCTTTTTATCAAGGATTCCTTCTGTTCCTGAAAATTACAACATTTAACAAAGTTTGATACAAAAAATACATAATTTTATATTCAACCTAAATAGTTCATATTGATGGGGAATGAGGAACTAGGATGCTGACTATGGGTTCAATTTTGTAAAAAAATAAATAAATAGCACACTGTTTATGCAGCACCTACACTATAAGCTTACATGTATGTATTACATTTCATATAAGCTAATTTGATACACCATCTCAAGTTCATACCAGATTTGAAACAAATCCATTAAATACTGTAGCCTCTATCATAGTCACAAGGTTTTGGGGAAAAGTGGCGAAAATCTAAAACGCCAAATATCAATACAGTACGAACATTGCAAAGGTTTAATGAAACATGATTATCGTGTCGTTTTTTTGTTGAATGGCAAGATAAATAACTCAGTGTAGCAGTCGCTATCGTGTGCCACGATAGTCTTGTGAAACGATAGGCCTCGCTGTAATTTATACATGTAAAATTAACGGTAATAATTTGTCATAAACAATCGATCTCCAAAATTATATACTGCCACGATGTTATGAATATTTTCGTTAATAATACGGATGCGTTAGTTCACGCTGTATAGTGAGAACACATCTGTTCACATATTCTGTACGATATATATGCGGTTATATTTCCACGCAGTCCTGTAAAGCTGCTTGTCTTGTACATTTTGAAGGTGAAATGAAATGAAATAGGGTTTAACGTCCTACTGTTCTGCTCCTATGCTGGGTTAATGAAGACGGGCATACACCATACAGTGTGCTATGAGGGAAATTTTGCCCGAGCAGCGGCACTATCACCTACTCTTATATCGAATTCCAACTGCCAAGGGATCTTTTACATGCATTCCAATGAATACACAGGACCTCGGTTTTTTGTCTCATCCGAAGGACTAGACAGCTGTCCTTGTCAGGCCCTCCATCCTGTATCACTGACAAGGGGGAACCACGCCAGAAAATCTGGATGAACTATCTCGGCCAATGCAGGGATCGAACACCCGACCTCCAGGCTAGCGAGCCAGCGGCTTACCCACTTAGCCACGTGATCCTCACATTTTGAAGGACACATATGCATAAGACTATACATGTACTACACAGTTTAGAGATATTTATGCTGTGTTCAAATTGTTTTGCATATTTAATGAATTAAGAGTGTATAGTAAAGAATTACTCTTGAATCATGACAAAGTCTGATATACTTTTAAATTGCAAACTATATAATAAAGGTATTTTGGTTATCGGTCTTACAAATAGAAATAAGACATAAACTATAAACAGAACTTGCAACGAAATTTGAAAGCACTTTCAAGTCAGACATACGCTCGTACTTAACGTAAAAATGAAATGAACATGACACAAGTCTCCAATGTAAGAGAATATTAGTTAATTATACCGCTGTCAAATCCACACAAAAATCCAAGGCACTCAGTTTATTTTAGAAAAGAATAACTGTATTTCGATCGAAGAGCCTGTCCCACATGAATCACAAGTCAATGGACAATCCTATACCAAACTGTCAACTTGTAATGTAGGCATTCTCGTGCAGGTTGTTTTCAATAACTGAAATGTCCCATGGATAAAATTGCACGTAGCCACTTTTTCGAGATTTCGTTAAGACTATGTGGTGCTTCAAATAACCCAAAGTTGCCAGAAACCATGCAGTGTTCATCTTACAACAGGTTCCATTGATTTATGGTTTATTTTATAGTTTATAATACCATTTAGACCACAAAGGTTTTTTTTGTTTTTTTTAAACAATATTTTTATTCAGGTTGTCTGAATTGGATTGGGGAATAGGCATAGCCTATGTAAAACCCCTAACAATGTGTTACGATTCGCATTTTCGTATTCCAAGTTCATTATTTATGCAAGTTTATATGCAATATGATATTAATTTGGATGGGTATTATTTTTATATTTGTCTATGTTAATTATTAAGGATATTGAACATCTACAATATGAGTAAGGCTCAGTAAGGTAAGGTAAGTACTTTCTACATATTAGATAATTTTTAATAATAAACATTATGTAAGCCTTAAAAGATAACAGCCGAAAATGTAACTGATAAATTCACGACAATGTTTCCTTATATTTGGAGTTGTTTAGTTCCCTTTCGTGTACGGAAAATAGATTAACAATTAGTTTTAACATTATTTATGATGCTGAGACATATAAATCTAATTTGTCTTGTTCAAGAGACGTTCATACTATTTAAGAAAATGATTTTTTGGCCCAACATACATGTACGAATAATTGTCATCTTATTACATGCGGATTCAGTTTATCTAAAAAGGGCTAAGTCGCAATTTAAGGAATTATTTTTTACCCAATATTAACCATCGCCAATTTTTTAAATCATGGGATAAAGTCAATCAACAAACAATACAGGTTTACTTTATTACAAAAACATTGGTGAACTTATCATTTTGTCTAAAATCATAACGCTAATCAACAAACAACACTATTGTTCTTTATTACAAAAACATCGGTGAACTAATCTCAGTCGAGATGGCCAGCCAAGCTAGTTGATTATTGGGTAAATAAAACAATATAAACAAGCCAACGGTGAGGCTGATGTCCCATGCCGAAATCCCAAAATAAATAGATGACACATATTAATTAATCGCATATATATATTTTTTTCAAAAGTATCAAGCAATCAAACTGATTATCAACTATACACTAAGTTTCATCACTCTCTATCAGATAAAATCAAAGTTATCTTGTCCCAAAGCATCGACCAATGAAATTGCTTAGCTCTGCTTAGCTTTAGCTCGAAATGTTAATCATTGAACTCGTTCAAGACATTCACCATCAAGTTTAAATATTCTACCTCAATTAAAAGCAAAGTTGTTATGTTCCAAAGTCTTGACCAATCAAATTGCTTATCACTCATTAGCCTAAGCAAAAAATTCTCACCATCGAACGTAGTCAAGGTAATGATATAATGAATCTATATTCAGAGTTTCATCGCTCTCACATTATCCTAACCAAAGTTATCGTGCCCCAAAGCATCAACCAATCAGATTGCTTATCTCTCCATCAAGGCATTCACCTAATGAACGCCTACACCTAATTTGAACATTCTACCTCAATAAGAAGGAGAGTAACTGTGTTCCAAAGTCTTGACCAATCAAATTGCTTATCGCTCTGCTTGCCAGGGGCGTGCTGGTAGGGAGTTTAGAACGACGGTGTCCTCCCAGGCCCCCATTAAACAATAAGTCCACCCGTATAAGCAGGCCCCCCTGAGAGCTCTAATTTTCATGTGGAATCCCCTCAAAAAATTGAGAGTGCGCACGCGAAAAATCATACATACACAACGATTAGTAAAATATATTATGCTGGCGTGCAAATGTCTGTCACCTTAAGGTGAAATGGTCTTTGATTAAAAATTTATTATTTGGATAGAAATACATTGTATTAGCATTATATTAAGCAGACCTGTCATGAGTGTCTTGTGTAGTACAGTAGTATGTCTTATAGTCAAAATAGCAGCATAAATTTGGAAAATATGATACCTAAATTTCTCCCAGAAGTGCTTGCAAAACGCGTTTCCCGTTGTCAAATTTAAAAAAATAACTACCAGCGGCACGCATTCGGCGCGCGGGTCGCATACGGCGATCAACGGACCCCATCCTGGCCCGTCCTCCCGGGCCAAAACGGGGCCAGCACAAAAGGCGGGGGACAATAAATGAAATCAATTTAGATAAGTACCGATGACAATTGTCTCTGCTCAGGGTATTCTCATGTTATTATAGTTTATTCTGTTGTGATTGTATGTGATCTGTCATCTTTTACAATGACAATATCTAAATTTAATAGGATTCGTAAATCCGATATTTAGATCATTAAAGGGAGACTACTCGACATATTTGAAGAAAACCGTCATATTTCAAAACTATTAGGTATAGAAATTGAGATGTTTTAAAACAATTATGTGTAGAACCTATTTGTAATTATCAAAAAGCCTTTTTTACCAGCATTCCAGTCCTAATTTTAACTTAAAATATTATTTGATCAAATCCATTCCATGTAAATATTCTAATTGTATTTCAAAAATCTGTTTATCTGCCCATAACTTACGGTATTCATAGAAATGGGTAGATGCAACAGTGTTGTTAGAAATAACAGATTTTGTAAATTCTGTGGCACCATGCAAGAACCTGATAAGCCACATGACATTCAATTTGAGAAAAAATGCAACTAAAGTCTGTGGTCTATTTGATTTTTTGTGATTTTGATGTGTACAGAGGCATAGTATAAAAATTCTGGATATTAATCAGTCTTGTAACGGGTGGGACGATTTACCCAATACTACCCAATACCACCTCAATATCACCACATACTACCCAATACTACAAAATAATAATGCAAAAATGACATTATCATTTGATTTTTTTCAAAAATAGAGAGTTCTATTGCGGGAAATGTACTTCAAATGCAATACCGATGTCTGGCTGTTCCATTTGCCGCCCTATACCACCCCAAACAAGCCTATAATAACCTAATACTACCAAATACTACACAATATGATCAAATTACAACCTAATATTGTCAAATAACAGCACATTAGTATAATTACTGTAACGAATATTCAATATTTTGCAGAAAATTGAAATGTTTACCCAGTTATCTCCCTTTACAACCGGTAAATTGATTTTAGCTTGCTACTCGGTTTAATCATCTTCTTTGGCTTTGCAGTTGGTTTCCAAGACGACAGACTTAAAATAAGAAAAACAAGTATGACGATATACCATATTTTATTCCCAAAATGACCCATCTGTCTCTTACCACTTGATAAGGTCGTCTGTCAAATAAGGTGGATTTTCTCGGGTCCCCCGGTTTCATCTCACTGTTAAACACCCCTTCGCGCAAGCGAGTTAATGAAATAATATTGAACTATATGTTAGTCCCAAAATTACCTAGTTAGTGTCGTTTGTTTGTATCTTTTTTAAAATTAATGCTTTAACAAAACAATTGCATAATGTTTATATTCATTTTATCATGTCAACTATTAAACATGCATTATGCAAGAGCAAAATCTGCTTATTACAAGTCTTTCTTTAGGCCTGAAATGTTATCTAAATTATCAATTAGACATTAATTAACTTATCCAGACCATAATAAACTCTCGATGTCAAGGCTAGCCTTCGATGTTGGCTGGATTTGATTCCTATATGCCGCTAACGGCTATTGATAATTAAATCAATAAAAGTGGATAATCGAGACTATGCTGTTTATATTAATGATTTTAGTAATGATGACCGAGACTATGCAAAAATTTCACCGCTTCTTTCTCGGCTCATAGTGGATCAATTTGACTGAAATTTTCAGCAAATTACCTTTACACTATCTAGTTTTTAACTATTATAGCGAGAACTGCCATCTCTTTATCTTATCTCCCATAATGTATTTTTACTTACTGCACGATGTTTTATTTTAAAATTAACGAAATTGCACGTTTCTTTCCAGTGTGTAACTGTCGACTTAACACTTCTCAGTTCATCAAAACTATCATTTGCGGCCTGTTACAGCTCTGTCAGTTTCTTTGATAATATAAATAAACCAGAACTTGATTACACAATCAACAATCTTAACCCCATTGATTAATTATTAAGTCAGGAGGAATGTATATAGGAGTAGAGCATTACACATTTGTAATAAACATGCGCATTGTAATAAACATGTACAATTTGATTTAAATGAACATTTTTAAATCACCCTCTAAAATACTCTTTTATTTGGATGCTTAGCTGTTTATTTTATAAACTGATTTTATTTTAATGCATTTTTAAATCTTTGTTAACTTCTTTAAAGATAGGTTGCCAGGCAACGAAACATACGCCCACAGCAGCTAAGTCGTTCGAGCAGTCCATAAAGCTTGTCAATTTTATGCTTTTGTTGGTAATGGGAGCATGTACAAGACCCTAAGAAACTTAGGAAAGTTTTTGTAATAATCAACATTAAGTAGATCATCAGGTTGATGTTGATGTGAAAAAAAACCCAACCTAATTTTGTAAGTTTTAGATCTTAAATCAGTGATGGTTTGGGGGAAAAGGGAGAGAGCAGAATTTTTGAATAATTGATGTTGTTAACTGCTTTAATACAATTTGATTATTCTCTTAAATATGGGGGGTTGGATGGCTGAATGGTTAGCACGCGCGCGCTGTATCATAAAGTCTGTCATTGAGTCAACTGGCATGGTTTCGAATCCCGGGTTGTACGTGACAAGAAGTAGGGTCGCCTGTCCAACCTCGTGGGTTTTCTCCGGGTCCTCCGGTTTCCTCCCGCTGCTAAAGACCCCTGCACGCAAGCGAATCATTGAAATAAAATTAAACCATATGTTAGTCCCGAAATGACCTAATTTGTGTCGAGTGGACGTTAAACCCCATTTCTCTCTCTCTCTCTCTTAAATATCTTGTTGATATTCATATGGGGTGGGAGGTATGGCAGGGAGCCAGAATGGGGTTGGGGGGGGGGGGGGCTGGTCTCGAGGAGAATTTATGAACTAGATTAATGAAGACATGTTTGCAAATTCTTGGGATGGCTGAAACTACTCCCCATCCCGCATGGTGTGACTGCCCCGATATCTGTAATGGAGAAATGGAATGTTGTTGGCCTTTTGGGGGGGAGCCATAAGGGATATGTTCTCCTCTCGACCTGCACTACAATCTGCAATGCATCTCTTAAATCTGCATATTATTTTTATGATTACACTACACCCCATTGGACTCCCCTTGTCAGTGGTGCTGGATGGAGGGGGAGAGAGAGAGAAATGGGGTTTAGCGTCCACTCGACACAAACTAGGTCATTTCTGGACTAACATATGGTTTAATTTTATTTACATAATTCGCTTGCGCGTAGGGGTCTTTAGCAGTGGGAGGAAACCGGAGGCCCCGGAGAAAACCCACGAGGTTGGACAGGTGACCCTACTCCTTGCCACGTAGAACCAGGGATTCGAAACCACGCCAGTCGACTCAATGACAGACTTTATGATACAGCGTGCGCACGCTAACCATTCAGCCATCCAACCCCCACTGGATGGAGGGCATGACAATGACAGCTGTCTATTTGTTTGGACAGGACGAAAAACTGAGGTTCCATGTACACATGGATGTGCATGTAAAAGATCCCTTGACAGTTGGAATTCAATATAAGAGTAGGGTGTAGCACTGCCGTCCAGGCAAAGTTTCCCTCATAGCACACTGTATAGTGTATGCCTCTCTTCATTAGCCCAGTCGAAGCAGAACAGTTTGACGTTAAACCCCCATTTCATATCATTTCCCACTGGACTTAAAAACGTCATAAGTATGCCACTGCCTTGTGTTGCATATTAACCCCAGCGAACTCCAGCATCTCTCATCCACTCATTCCCTTCCTGCATTGTTAGATGAATGTGATGAGTTTTCACCCATTATTTACATGACTTTCTGCTGCTCACTTTCACAAAGAGATTCAAACTGAATTGCATGTAATTAAGTTGCAACAGTGTTCGAAGAAAAAGAAAAAAATATATGAAATAAAAAAATTTAATCATAGATTCATATATGTGACATCAATAGTTAATATATATACATGATAGTAACATAAGAAATTAATTAAACTTGTGAAACTTTTAAGTTTAAATCATTACATTTGCTGCGAGTTGGCTACTCAACCCTACTCCATCAAAATGGAGGGGAAAGTACGATTTTCTCTAGTACTCTGTCCAGCAGTTACATGTAAGGTGTTCACTCACGCAAGGTAAATCAAATAATAAAAGATCTAAAAGTACTTGTAATTGTAACAGTAAAACTGTAAAAGTTAAAATTAACAATAAATAAATTGAGATTAAATGATCAATCTAGCACATGCAAAATAGCAACAGAGCATTATGAAAATTTAAATCACATAAAATTTAAGAAATAGTAAAAACTAAATCAAAGTGATATATATTGACCTGGACAACTCAACTATGTATTATTATCTGTCAAGATTCATAAATATTCGATAAATTTTATTGAATTTTTGTAATATTTTGATAAAGTTTCTATTGTGTAGATATCTGTTAACATTGCATATCGGCCATACACAAGTTTTTGTTGAATTATGAGGTCAACATACTAATTAAAATCCAAAACAAAATTCAAATGAACATGCATAATTAATATTCGTTAATAAAACATAAATTGAAGTAGTAAGGATAAAACATAATACAAAGATAAAAATAAAATACATTTATAACAATGATTTTAGCATAATGGAAGGTCTTTTGAAGCTTTGAGGTCTTGTGAATTAATCTGAAAAATATAAAGCAAATTACAAATAAATATATTTTAAAAACATGACATGTGCAAACCTACACAAACTATTAGACAGACAAGGACTATCTAGTATAAATTGTTAATGATCATTAATAATTAAAATTACCAGTAGAAACTATGAAGGTATATCTCTCATTTTTGTTTACATGAATTTCAACTTGGTGACCTAATCAAAGCAATCTGATTAAAAGACAGATTTTATTTTGTTTCGTTCTTTATAGTTTAAAATTCTGTCGATTGTTTTTACTACACCAGGATTTGGAAATGTTAAGTAACCCACGTTCTGGGTGATGTGAAGGATTAACCAATCAAATTGTCTTTCACATTGAATTCTTATCGCGTTGTGTGTGGAACTGTGGGTATACATTCACAGCAATAGAAAACAAAGCAAAAGTTGTATTTCTGAATACAGCGATGCTGATTTGTTAATCGAATGACTGACATCATATGGTCAAAAGTTACACTGAATAAACTTACTTTGCATTCAATAACTTCAATAAAAAGTTCTTCCTAAAAAAAGTTTATCTAGTTCAAAAATTGTGTCCCAAAAACATCCATACCGGTATCACGTGCCTGGAAATAGAAATAAAGATAAAAATATTAGGAGTATAAAACAGATACAAGATTGTGAATCAACATCAAAGAACAGATTTAAAAACATCATCATGCTTTAGAGCAGTTTTAAATTTACTAGCAAAATATCAATATTTGGTTAAGAAAATACCGGTAAAGGTAATTTTTTTAAAATAAAAATATTGAATTCATAGTCATTTTGTTTCAGTGTAAGATGCATTCATTATGTAAGAGCTAATTCTTTCTATCGCAGGTCTTTTTTAAATTTTAAATATATAATTATTAACTCTCAAGATCATCATGATCAGATGACTTGCGATAGCAAATGAATTAGAACATCCACAAATTTAATAATGGATAATCAATACTTTGTTTATCATAGTGTATTTGACAATCATGATTATTAGGTCAAATCTTGGTACACTCATAAAATTGCTCAAAATAAAGAAATTTGAGTGAAATATTCAATATATTTATCTTTCATTATTTTTTTTAAAACTATTATCTATTACAGCGAAATCTTATATAATGCATCATTAAGTAAAATAATTTTTAACTAAAATTATTTTAAAAAATTTCTACATTTGGTCAATACCAAACATTATTTTTTTTCAAAAAAAGAACCTTTGATTAGTAAAATAATATATAATTTTTAAAAAGTAGGTTGCCCCTGGTGGCCCATGCAAAATGTTTTTTCATAAATACCAGTATCTTGCAAGATGCAATTGTCATTATGGGTTTTTTAAATTTCTTACAAATATCTTATAGCGCCAGTGTATTTCAATTAGTATATTTCTAATTAGTTTCTTTTTTCTTTCATGTAACCAGAAGCTCCTGTCACCATG